CACACACACACACACACACACACACACACACACACACACACACACACACCATACACACACTCTGACCTCTGAACCCACACTGGCCTGGTACACTCTTTCCACTTCACACACACACACAGAGTGACCTATGCCACCCAAAGCTCTTGCTTCTGGCCAGCTCTGGTCATCACAGTTGGCCGTGTGCCTTGTCCACTGTTCTCTCCTTGGGGACTCGGGGTTGTCTCCTTCCTCTGTGGCCAGGTGCTTTCTACCCTCTGAGACTCACAAAAGCTGGCTTTTGTCTTTTGCCTTCCCTCTGGGGATGCGAACCTTCTAACTTCTACCACGGCCTTGCCCCTTCTTCCCCAGGTGCTGAGGCAACCCCACCACAGGGAGCCTCTTTCTGTCGTGCCCTGGCAGGTCACAGGCACTTTCTGAGGACAACCTCAAGAAGGAGGGGGGAGGGGAGGAGGCAGCTGTGCATGGCGGGCCGGGGATGGCTGCGGTTGGTCTTCAGTTCTGAGGGAAGTTCTGGGGTACCTTTGGTTTTGTTTAAGGAGAAAAAAATATATATATAAAGATTAAAAATCTCAAAGCTGATTTTTCCTGTTCCAGAAAAACTAATATAAAGCATTACCCCTGCCCTGGCATCCATGTTGCATCTGTGTGTGCTTCCCTCCAGGTGCTGGGCTGGCATCTGATCCAACAAGCGATACCCCTGACCAGCAAGAATGAGGACCAGTGCCAGGACCCAGGGCCCCCGACAGGAGTGGGGCAGACAGAGGAGGGATGGGACAGAGCAGCAAGGCAGGAAGCCTTGGTGCAGACGCTCTCAGGGGACGGAAATCTGCTTTTAGGGTCAGACAGGGCGCAGGCCTGCACGTTACCCCTGCTCCCCCAAGCTGAGTCCCCAGCATAGGATCCACCTGAGCGCCACCTCTGCACTGAGGTGGTGTGGCTGATAGTCTGTGCCCTCCAAGTAGGGAAGAGGCAGAGGGCGGATCCCAGGGATCCCAGAGCTCGTGCAGAACTGCTCTGGGGACAGTCTCTTGAGGCATTCCCAGGGGAGAGTTGAAGGACATGTCTAATATGTCACCCCAATGTGGGCAGAGCTGGGCTTGGGTTGAAAGCTGTAGGGAGGCTGTACCTAGCTGCCCGTTGGGTCTTAACGACTATATAGGGACCTTCCTGACCTGGAGGTATGTGGGTGCAAGCCCGTCAAATTCATCAAAATATAGACTCCTGCCTGTGGCTAGCTGGGCAAGGCCGCTGGACTCCTCAAAGGCCTTAAGAGGTGACTTGGGGAAGGTCAAGTGAGCCCATCTACATGAAGGGGAAGTAATTGGCTGGACAGCTGATCTCTCCCAGGTGGTTAGGGATCACCTGAGGAAAGACAGTTATGGGGGACCCATGAGAGGACTATGGAGAGTCGGAGGGTGGATCCTGGAGCTGAGGCCCTTCCCGGAGTCTTGGCACTCCTGGGAGGAAGGTAGAGTTCAAGGGTGAGGGTCTGTGTCGTCCTGGCCCTTGGGGAGTGACCTTGGGGAGGCCTGTCTCCCTGGGTCTCAGAATCCTCACGGGCCTGGTATTCTACCCCTCCAGACCCCAGAGTTATACCCCTACCCCACCTCTAAACCCAGCCCCGGCTACGACAGATCGTGTGGCCAGCACCCTTCTCTGTCCCTTAGGCTTCTTGAGCCAGGCCCTTCTCTAAGGCAAAATGTTAGCTAACCAACGGCAGGCTTCCACTGAGATCCCCTCCTTTCCTGGGGTCTGATTTCAGGGCCAGAGCCCAGCAGACCAGGCTGATCAAGGTAAGGAGGTCTGTCCCTAACAGCTCTGGAAAAGACCCAACTACAGTCAGGCCTATTGAGGTGGCCTGGGGTGGGTTTGTTTATACTCTGTCTCTCACATGTGATGGCTTAGACAGGCCTGTCCTCCCTGTGGCCGATCTGTGCTCTGTCTGCTTGATTAGCTCAACAAAGAAGCGCCGCCCAAGAGTCTGCTCTCAACTAGAGAGTGTGGGTCATGCCTTATAATCTCAGCATTTGGGAAGGTGGGGTGGGGGAGTAAGGGGGGTGGGGGAGCAGGAGGATTGCTACTAACAGAGTCTACATAATGGGTGGCTAGTACTGCATAACAAGATCCTGTCCTGCCAGGCGGTGGTGGCGCACGCCTTTAATCCCAGCACTCGCGAGAGGCAGAGCCAGGTGGATCTCTGTGAGTTCGAGGCCAGCCTGGTCTACAGAGTGAGATCCAGGACAGGCACCAAAGCTACACAGAGAAACCCTGTCTTGAAAAAACCAAAAAAAAAAAAAAAAAAAAAAAGACCCTGTCCCAAATCACAAAACAGAACACCACCAGCATACAGTCTTGTTACATCCACCAGTCTTGAAAAAAACAAAGACTTTTATTTATCATATTATTGCAAACACAGAAGGGACTAGTAACTCTTATTCCATTTCACCACACAAGCCTTTGTGGAGTTCGGACCCCAAGGTGCTGCTAGTCACGTGTCCAGAGACTCACCGGCTGGGCCTCCCTCCTTGTGGCCCATCTTGCCCACCTGTCCCATAGGAGGCTGGCTGGGCTCTACCCACAGGGCCTTCCAGCCCTAGTGGACATGAGTCTCCATCTTAGATGAGAGATCTGGTGGACAGAAATGGACCAGGCTGTGGTACATGGAAGGCATCGGGTCTTGATCTGGGGATGGGCCAGCCCTTATTGGGACGGTTGTGCTAAAACCACAATGGGATGGGACAGAGGTTGACCTGACCTGGGCAGAAACAGGGGCGCGGCGGTTATATCTCCATGAGTTGGAAGCAGCGGCAGCTGTGGGGACCCTGGAGAAGGCAGAGCCTCTTTGGCTGGTCCTTGCAGGCTGCCTTGTCCCCAGAAGGGAGTGGCCGAGGCTCCAAAGACATGAGAGAACATTCTAGCCTTGGTGTTGCTTCCAGTGAGCGATTTTCGCTCTCAGGGCCCAAAACTGTTCCTCCATAGAGGCAGAGACTCACCCTGCCAGATGCTTCTGTGGGCTCATGTGGTACGAACTGTCACAGCTAGGTCTTGGGCCACACGAGCCCATAGTCGCTGGCTGGGGCTCCTGCACACTGTTGTCCCTTTGCTGAGACACTATTTCTCATCAATGGCTGACTAGCCTGTCAGGGTGGAACTTGACTTGGGCTTTGTCAGCTGCTCGGGTGTATTCTGAGTTCAGCTCCTGCCCTTAGCCCGGACCCCAGGGTCTGGTCTGCCTCTGCAGCCCTGTGGGCTCACACATTGGTTTCCAGCTCACTAATCTCGATGGTGCAGTGGTCGAGGCTGGTGGTGGCCGGCTCCTCGTCCTGCTCTACCTGGACTGGGATGTGGTGGGGACACGTGGGGCCAAGGGTTAGTTCCGAGGCCTCAGCCACGCTCTTCACACAGCCATTCTGCTGGGCGGCCACGATCTCCTGCAGCGTCACTGGCTTGGCCTCACAGGGTAGCAGTTTCTGGGGAGGAAATGGGCCTTGTTAGCACTAGGAGGGGCTGAGGGTAGGTGATGCTGAGCGGTCTCAGGCTGGGAGCCTCTGAAAGGGATTTTCCTGTAAACACAGTTGGGTAGCCTTAGCGGGGCACAGGCCTCTCTGTGCAAGCTGCCTTGCCTCCTGCCTCCTACTTTGGTGATGAGAGACTTGCCCCACAGGGTCCAGCTGGGGAACAGTAGCTCCTCTACCTGAACCTCAGCTTCCTTCCAGTGAAGTGGGTACAGCCACCTACACACACCGGCAACCCCAGATTCCAGACAGTTCCCAGCTGCCTCACAACATCCTGCGTGAGGGACTGGGTTTCTCCGAGGGGAGATGTGTGTTTTTCCCCTACTGCTTCACTGGCTAGATCTGGGCACCCTGTCAGGTCCTCCATGAAATCTGCAACCCCACCTGGCTCCATCTCCTAAAGGCTTCCTGGGGTGGGGTGGGGGGGGACACTGCTCTCACCTCAGTGCCCATGTCCTGAGCAAAATCCTTCCTGCAGATGTGGGCCATGATCCCCGCTGCCAGCGCGTCACCCAGCACATTGATCATGGTCCGGAAGCGGTCCCTGGCAAGCCAAGGTGGGCAGTGAGGCGCAACCACCCCAACAGGGAACTGGTAGAGGCCACACGCAACTGGAAAGTGTAAGGCCACTGCGCAGAAACACAGGCAGTGACCGCAGGCAGGGGTGCAGCCCACCCACCCTCAGGGGTGCCTAAGCAGCTGGGGAGACCCCTTCATGGACACAGGCCCTGTGTTTAGAGGAGCCAGACTTGGGGTCACGACCCACTACTTCTTTAGAGAATTCAAGGGGACTCTGTCTTGACTTTTGAACTCTTGAGACCCCAAGTCACACAACTGAGCTGGCATGGATTATTGGGGCACCCCGCTGTGCCATATATGGCCATGCCCCCAGCCCTCTGCCTGCTGCCCTCGGCAAGGGGTGGGGCTGGGTAAGGACTGGAATGGAGCGCTTACAGAGCCCAGTCTACAGCGATGATGAGGTTGATGTCGTCAGTGGGCAGTCCCACAGAGGTGAGCACAATGACCATGGTGACGAGCCCCGCCTGTGGGATGCCAGCCGCCCCAATGCTGGCCGCAGTGGCTGTGATGCTGCAGAGGGAACAGATGTGGCGAGGACACCTGCCACAGCCCTGGCTCCGACAGGGACCAGGGTGCTAGGGCCTCAGGGCCAGCCAAGGGGGTGGGGCCCCATCATGAGCATCAGGGGAGTTAGAGAAGCATGTGTCTGCTTATAGTTCTTTGGCCCATGGGTCCCCATCCCCATCCTTGAGGGAACTGGAATAAGCTAGGAGACTCTGCTGTGGGACGGAGACACTCAGATTCTGGTGGTCAACCAGCACAGCTCCACCCCGGCCTCACTCTGGGCCTGGGTCAGAATTGTGTGCTCGGACCGGCCTACAGGGAGGCCGCCTCAGGCCCTGCCCTACTGCAGCGGCCTGCACTAGGCTGGACACCAGCCTCTCTGGTCC